AAATATCGACGTAGATAATTTCGCTCACACTTCAGCAATATTTTGTTACAACATCGCTATAATATCGCTAAAATATCGAAAATATCGATGTAATGAAAAAAAAAGGGGGGGGGGGAAACAAAGGAGATTCAAGGTGTTTCCTCTTGTAAAATTAGTCATCCTTGGTTTGTTTTGTATTGTGGCGTCCAAGTGATAAGTTCTTTTTTCTTCTGAATATTGAGACATGGACAGACAAGGAATGATGAACCTTACATTTCTTACTTTGCCAAAGTTCACACATGTTTATCACATGTATATCATTTGATAACTACTCTTCACAATACACTTACTCTACACATAGAGATGATGAAGATAGTGAAAAATTTGAACCTCATAGGAACTCTATGTGGTACTAAGTCACTTATGTATCTTACTATGCAATGTATAAAATGTAAAATATTGTAGTAAATCATTATATATAAATGATTGTGGTGTGTTTAATTTTTTTCATTAATTACTATATATTTTCTACACTTACAGTGTTTGTTAGCTCGCTATATAATCAACTTAAATTAGTTAAATCCATCATGCAATGCATTTTCTTCCATTTTTTTGTGATTAACTAATAGATAATTGACTAAATAAGCATCCTCCAAAGTTTCAATAAAAATTTCCAAGTTTTTCTTACAATTTTTGTGGTTTTTATTCAATTTTTATCGATATCGATAATATCCTGATATTTTCTTGTTTTTGGACTACTAATATTTCCGATATCACCGATATTTTAGACCTTGCTCATAACTAATATTTACCCAAATTCAATTTCAAAACATCTCTCTTTTCTAGCCTCAATATTTCTTTTTGTATGAAATTGGATAATTTATTAATTTTCAAGCCCAAAAAAATATATATATATTCAATTGAAATTTGTATAAAAAATTCATTTGAAAAAATAATAATAATCTGGTTCAAAATTGAATCGGACCGAAACCAATTCAACCCAAACGGTACAATTTTTCAAATTTTTTTGGTTAAAATTGGACTGAATCAAACTGAGTAAATAGTACCGAATTCGGTTCCAATTTGAGGCAAAAACCGATCCAAACCGAGTCGTGTCCACCCCTAGTCCTAGCATCCGTGTAGTATATGTGAAGTTAGTATATTATTCCCCCTCTCAATAAGAAACGTCCTAAAAAAGAAACATATCATTACAAAACGGGCCAATACATAACAGCTCAGGTCCAACATATTACAACATAACCAAAAAAAAAAAAAATTTTTGAATCCAACCCAATATTACCACAAGCTCAGGTCCAACATATTACAACATAACCAAAAAAAAAAAAAAATTTTGAATCCAACCCAATATTACCACAAACCCTAGCAACCATACCAAAAAAGATTATAAAACACTAGTCGTCGCCCCTGATCATTGTCAGTACCGCCAAGTTCATCACCACCCTAACCACAAGAACATGGGTTCATGAAGACACCTGAAAGAACCGACCGGTGAGAATGGGGTGAAATTGCATCATACTCATATGGACAAAAAATAGATGCACAAGGATTAAAAACTCCTGAAAACCAACAACCACATCACCCATGTTGTGATGGAGGACAAACATGAGGGAGCTAAAGTTGGTAGAGAACTCAGCAATAACAAGGGAAGCAACAAAAGCATGGATATGAAGGAGGGTTTGCCAATTTAGGCTCCAAGAGAAAACACCCATGAATAATGGGAAGGAGTCGACCATAAAAACTCTCACAAGGGAGAGAGAGATATAGCTCTCACAGAGGAGAGATAAACCTCTCACATAGGAGATAGAAAACTCTCACAAAAGGAGAGTAAAAAGAAGAACAAAAGTGTTGAAAGGAGAGAATGAGAGGAAATAATGGGGGGAAAAGGAGGGGTGGAGGAAAAATGTTACCCCCCCCCCCCCCCCTCAAAGAGTGTTACAACTAGGGGTAGGAAAGGTCTGATTCGGTTTGGTTTTCACCCCAAATCAGAATCGAAACTGGCAGTATTTATCCGGTCTAATTCAGTTTGGTTTTGATGAAAAAATTATCTAGACCGGTTTGCTCATAAGCCAATTCGATTTCCTGTTTAGGACTAAATTATTATTATTTCTTTTTTTTACAAAACCAAACAATAATATATATATATTTTTTTTAATTTTGCTTCAAAATTCACAAATGGCCCAATTTCATGCAAATGAAGTTGATTAGGCCTAGAAAAGATATGTGATTTGGAGTTGCGCTTGGGAAAAAATTAGTTATATGCTTAAATATTTTATTAAAAAATTATAACATACACAGTTGGTACAGTTCAGTCACGTCTCTATAAGAACTAGAATCAAAATTGGACCAAATTGATCAGGTCTGATTTTTGGTCAACTTGGTCCAATTTTGTTTCATCCCGATTTTTTCCCCTTTTTTTAGGCCCAATTCGACTTGGTTCTCCGGTTTGAATACCACCCCTAATTGCGGCGATGGAGGGCTATTTGGGAGAGGGGTAGGTTCTCACTTTTTAGGAGCAACCAACAACATCAAATAAAATTAGAAATGGTTGAAATAAAATCAATGTCTAATTATAATTTAGTATGACTACACGTAACTAACCAACTCTTAGTGCAGTGCTACTTTTCCCCATATTATTGAACATGTAGCAAGCTCAAAATTTTCATAATATCACTTGGTAAAAAAAAATTGGACAATGGAATTAAAATTTATTTTTTGTACGGAAAAGTGATTTCTTATCAGTAAGAAGGTTAATATTTTCA